GGGGTGAAACTGTAGGTAGCGTCAGAGGCTTTCATAGAAACCCTAAACCCTAAAACCCGCTGCTGAAATTTCATGTGCTGGGAAGTTGTCCCTCGCACCCCATTCTGCCTCCTAGGGACTCCCTGAAAACCCAATCGAACTTCTTAGAAAAAGGTTTGGGGCCACTACTTCACACCTTGCACACCTCAACAGCTAAACGGGCCTTTCAGGGGTTTAGGGTTTAGGGCTTAGGGTCTATAACGTCGATCTCGAGCCGAGTGTACCTGAATTTCTGAATCAGCCTTCTGGGGATGCGACCATGACCTCAGCTGCCTAAGAAAGCTCCCGCTTTTGTCCTCCTCCATCCAAGGACTTCTTGAACGACGGGAAGCTTTGCCGGCCCCTCATTCGCTTCCTTGCTGGGTGTCCTAATGTGACGAACGGTATATCTTCGGATGATATGTGGATCGTCCGCTCTCTCAGCTCCAAACCCTAAACCAGAAGCCCTTAACTCACCTGAACCCAACCCTTAAACCCTAAACCCTAATCCCTAAAACCCTAAACCCCTAAACCCCTAAACCCTAAACCCTAAACCCTAAACCCTAAACCCTAAACCCCATCGAGAGTCCTGTTCTAAACAGCTTCTACAGCACCTCGGGAAGCCAGCCTCTCAGAAGGGCCCGGAAGGTCTCCTTGTCAAAGCGTCACCGGGGTTTAGGGTTTAGGGTTTAGGGTTTAGGGTTTAGGGTTTAGGGTTTAGGGTTTAGGGTTTGGGGGGGGGGGGGGGTGAGTTTGGAGGGTTTGTGAGTTTATAGGGTATAAAGGGTTTATCGGGCTTGTAGGGTTTATAGGGTTTACAGGGTTTGTAGGGTTTATCGGGTTTGCAGGGTTTGTAGTGTTTATAGGGTATAGGGTTCAGGGCTGTCCCAGACGTTATGTGAAGACCTGTACGTTAGGATTCGACAAAGGTGCTGTCAGAGCTTCTCCAATGTAAGTGCTCCCCTACAGCCCAACACCACGCTTAAGAAGCCCCCGCAAGAAATAATAATCTTCCTTATTATAAAAGGTAGTCTCGGGATTCATATTTTGCATTTTTGGGGGGGGTTCTGAAGCAAACATAGATAATCCCCAACATCCCCAACACAACATCCCAAAGTTGTCGGGCTTTGGGGTTTGCAGCTTGCAGTTTGCAATTGCAGTCTACGGCCTAGAACAGACCCTGAAAGCCCCTTGCGTGCCCGAAAACCATTGGGTGGCTAGCTGCTGGGGAGCTGAATTGACGCTACTTTGTGATCACAATATTTATACATCCGTAGTATTATCAGCATTATTGTGGTATCAGTACTAGTATTTCCTAGTATTAGTATTATGATTTTAATTATTCTTCGGGTAGCTGTATTTACGCTTCCTAGACCCTGAGATTTTCACAGCAAGAACCTACGGTGTAAGGGTGGGTCGGCTCCTCCCCCTGTGTCGCGCGAAGCTTCGCAAGCACTACCTTCCGGCCGCTGGAGTCTTTGAACTGGTTGTTTAGGGTTTAGGGTTTAGGGTTTAGGGTTTAGGGTTTAGGGTTTAGGGTTTAGGGTTTAGGGTTTAGGGTTTAGGGTTTAGGGTGGGTCATGCGGTATGTGGGGTTTGCGGTTCCGGGGGGGTAAGGTAGAGGGTTTGGGGTGTTGGGGTGTAGGTTTGCTGTTCTGCAGCTTGCACATTTGTATGCCTGAAAATCCTCCTCGGCTGTTGCGTTCGATGCCGTGGCTGGTCGATGTTAATTTCGCGTCTAAACTCTGAGTTAATCGGCGAGCGAACTAGTAAAACAGAGCCTGTAGGACTTGGCCTTAAGACCTAGGCTTTAAGATTGAACCCTAGACCCTAAACCCTTACACAAAACCCAGAACCCTAAACCGTAAACCCTGCCTGGAGGTCGTCGGGCAATGCCGCGCGCGCTGCCCGGGAATGGCCCTCAGTGTCCTGGCACAGCTCGCAGGGGTGTGAGGGTTTAGGGTTTAGGGCTTAGGGTTTAGGGAAGTCATTCTTAAAGTTTTGATTGGGTTTCAGGGTTTGCGGGCGTCGGGCTTAAAGGTTTGGGGGGGGGGGGGGGGGGGGGGGGGGTGGAAGGTTGCACAGAAGCAACTTGAGGACCTTTTCAAGCCTCTTGAAGCCTTAAACCCTAAACCTTGAAATCCTACTTGGCTTTCGGGGGGGGGGGGGGGGGGGCCTTCCTGTTTGCAGGTCTTGGGGCGCTCACCCTCAGCTACCAAGAGCAGACTGGCACAAGGCAACATCTCCCCCAAAGGCCCACCTAGCATAAAGCCCTAAGACCCCAAGACCGAAGACCCTAAACCCTAAACCCTAAACCCTAAACCCTAAACCCTAAACCCTAAACCCTAAACCCTAAACCCTGAACCCTGAACCCTGAACCCTAAACCCTAAACAATCCCTAAACCCCAAGCATGCCCTCCAGCCCGAGTTAAGCCGCAGAAGCATCTTTTGGGATGGTCCCCCTTATGCTAGCAGTCATTAGTAGGGATTTTAACAGGGGGTATCTACTATAATCCCTATTAAGGACTGTTAGTACAAGGCAAACCCTAAGCCCTAAACCCTAAACCCTACAACCTACACCCTAAGCCCTAAACCCTAAACCCTACACCCCAAACCCTAAACCCCATCCCAAAGTATCTTGTTCAAGGGTTCCTAACAGTCCTTGCTCTCAGGGCAGGAAAGTTTTCAAGGGGTTTTGGGAGCAGGTCCTGGAACGTCAGCTCAAAGCGATGGAGGAAGTTGCGCGGGCACCTTGAGGGCGAGGGTTTAGGGTTTAGGGTTTAGGGTTTAGGGTTTAGGGTTTAGGGTTTAGGGTTTAGGGTTTAGGGCTTAGGGTTGAGGGTTTAGGGGTGCTCAGGGTGAAGGGATGCAGGGTTTGGGGTCTTAGGGCCCAGGGATTCCCCGTACCTTTATCTTCTTCCCCCCCCTCATTCCAGCGTTTAGGGATCAACCCTAAACTAAACCCTAAACCCTAAACCCTAAACCCTAAACCCCAAACCCTTATCGGAATCCACGCTCCTCGTGGTTGAGTGCTTAGGGTCGAGCTACTCTAGCACCGGGCCCATGTAGCTATGTGGCATACTCTTGGGCCTTGAAGGGGTTCCTATATTTGGTAGCTTTAGGGCCCAGATATCGATTCTATAAGAACATGGACACCGAAGGAGCTAGAAACCCTTCAGCGCAGGACCCGAAACCCTGAACATGAAAACCCGGAACCCTAATTAAACTCCCTAAGCCCTAAACCCTTTACCATTCATCTCTGCGTTCCCAATCCCTAAACATGAGAACCCTGAACCCTAATTAAACTCCCTAAACCCTAAACCCTAAACCCTAACCCTAAACCCTAAACCCTCAACCCCTAAACCCTAGACCCTAAACCATAACACCAAGACCTTGAGCTGCAGTCCACTGTGGAAACTCTAAGCCCCGAAACTCCCCAAACCCCGGCCCAAATCCCAAATCCCAAAACCCTAAACTATACTCCCTTTAGAACCTTAACCCTAAACCCTAAACCCTAAACCCTAAACCCTAAACCCTAAACCCTAAACTAAACCCTAAACCCTAAACCCCATACAGAGTTGAATTTGATGTTCCTTTGGGTTTCATAAAAAAATCACATACAAATACTAATTTCCCTAAGGAGGCTGCAGTAACGCAAGCGGCCCTCTGAAGTTAACCCTAAACCCTAAACCCAAAACCCTAATTAACCCTAAATCCTAAACCCTAAGCACTTCTCAAAGCTGTCGGCGGAGCGCCATGTCGCGTCTGCGGCGAAGACGGCTGGGTCCGTGTACTTCTCGTCGGTGACGCTGGGATGGCCTGCCGGCTGTTGGTTTAGGGCTTTTGGGGATTTGGGTTTTGGGGTTTGGGGGGTTTGGGGGTTTGGGGCTTCTGGGTTTTCTAGGGTTTTCAGTTTCAGGAGTTCGGAGCCGGAAGCAGAACCTCTGCCCTACAGAGAAGCCTCGTAAGCTTGTGGTAGTTGTGCCTTTTGGGGCCCATTCTTTGGAGGTCTTGCGAACCTGTGTGCTGAGAGCCCGAGTTTGTGTTAACCTGCCGGTCTCCTAACTAGGGCTTATAGGGTTTCGGGCTTGGGGTTCTGAGTGTACGTCCCTAAGCCCTAAGCCCATAAACCTATAAACCCCTAAACTGGCTCAGAGATTAGTTTTGGGCTCAGGGTCTGCATGCGAAACCCTAAACCCTGGTTCTGGGTCCAAACGTTGGCGCCTGCATGCTGCAGATGCACTCGGATTTGGTGAGTCCGCCCAGTACGGATCCTGGGAGGTTCATGGGTATTCAAAACTCCAATTCTACTTATAACCTCCTTAGGGGACTTAGGAGGCTTATAAGTACAGTTATAAATTGGGCTTATAAGTACCCATGAACCCTAAACCCTACACCCTAAACCCTTAAGTATGGACCAGAAGAGTCAGGGCTTAACTCTACTGAGTCCAAGGCCTTTCGGCCCTTGCGAGCCTCGGACTGGCTCGGGAGGGTTTAGGGTTTAGGGTTTAGGGTTTAGGGTTTAGGGTTTAGGGTTTAGGGTTTAGGGTTTAGGGTTTAGGGTTTAGGGTTTAAGGCCTAGGGTTTAGGGATTGATGCGGGCTCACTGGCCGCACAAAAGCCTTTGACATGTTTTGCTAACCGCCACACCGGCATCGCCGGGAACCTAAGCCCAAAACCCTAAACCCTGGACATGTAAGGTTTGGGGTTTAGGTTGACTGGACATGAGCAACCTACACCCTGAACTGGTCCACACCCTAACCCCTAAACTGAATGTGCCCCCCCCCCCCCCCCCAGACCCTCAAACCTTATCTTTAAACCCAGAACCCAGAACCCTGAACCCTAAACCCCAAACACCGAACCATGAAGCCTCAGCCCTAAACCCCTAAACCCCTAAATCCCAAACCCCAAAAACCCCTAAACCCCGAAACCCTAAACCCTAAACCCCTAAACCCCTAAACCCCTAAACCCCTAAACCCCTAAACCCCTAAACCCCTAAACCCCTAAACCCCTAAACCCCTAAACCCCAAGAGCAGGTCATGCTCAACCCAGTCCCAGGCACTTCACCACGAGGAGTGAGAAAGGCTCCGAACCCCGCGCCAGCAGGCACAAGGCTTCGGCCTGCTTGGGGTTTAGGGTTTAGGGTTTGGGGTTTGGGGTTTGGGGTTTGGGGTTTAGGGTCCCAGGGTTTAGTGTCTGGGGTTTAGGGTTCAGGGTTTAGGGTTCAGGGTTAGAGAGCCAGGCCTCTCACGAGGCAACTGAGGCACAACGTCAGGAGAAAGAAAGGGAAGCCACTACGGGCTGAGGTTTTAGGGCTTAGGGTTGGGGTGTTCCCTCTTATACTCACAGTCCTTAAAAGGTGCTATAGTTGGGGGGTACGTACGACAATCATACTGTTGAGGACTGCTAGTGTAAGGGGTAACATCCCAAGGTGCACAACAGGCCAGTGTTTTTCGACCGTGCCTTAGCATCCTGCACATTTTCGGACTCCCTGGGAATATATAGGAATATGGATAAGACTATGACACAACAACAATATGAATAATCATTTTTCGAGAACAACATTAGTAACTTTAGTCGTAGTGAGAATCAAGGCTAACAGCACTGCAAGAGCAAGTTCAGAGCGAATGCCAGTAAGAAGAGACAAACACATTTCAAGCCCTAAACCTGAAGAGCATACTAGGAGCTTCATAGGTGATATAAGTATAAGGTTAAAAGTATGATCACTACAAAGATGCGCATATATAACCGCGAATAGGGGTACTCATAACCCTACTTACAGCCCTCTACCCTAAACCCGAAACCCTAAACCCTAAACCGTAAACCTACCCACGAAGCTTCAAGCGCGGCCGGCCTGCGTCCACGCAGGCTTTCCTGCAGAGCTCACACGGCTCGTGGCCGGGAAAGTCTTGGTCGTCTTGATCCTGAGCATCAAGGGTCTCTACCTTGGACCCTTGTGCCCGAGGGCTTGGGGACCCTTTATAAGGATTCCTAAGGGAATATACGGGCCATCAAGGGACTCTACTTGGCTGCACTTAGCAGGATAGCTATAAATTTATTCTTCAGCTGCCTTATTCAGAACCCCTATAAATCCAAAAAGGCTGTGGATTCTACAGTTACAGTAAAGCACCACAGAGTCTAGCTTGGACCCCTAAGGTTGTACCGTACAGGGTTTGGGGACCCTTTATCAGGATTCCTAAGGCAATATACGGGCCATACCCCAAACCCTAAACCCCGAACCCCTAAACCCTAAACCCATGGAACCCTCTCAGGGGTACATCATCCTTAGGGGTGCGAGCGTGACTCTCTTGAGAGCACAGGGCGCGCCTGAAAGCTATCTACGGCTTTAGGGTTTAGGGTTTAGGGAGTCCAAAACTGATTCAACCCTAAACCCCTAGAGTCTCCGAGCGCGCCTGAAAGATTTGAAAGATGGCCTAATCACTAGTTAGACTGTAAACCTGTAAAACCGAACGCCCATACTTCAGAACCCTTTTAAGAAGGTAAGGGACTAGATGGAGGGACCATGCAACTTCCCTTAGTCTGTACTCTTCTTAGAACCTGAATTAAAAACATTTTGAATGTTCCCTGGCGTTTTATAAAACCCTAAAACCCAAAACCCTAAACCCTAAACCCCTAAACCCCTAAACCCCCAAACCCTAAACCCTAAACCCCTAAACCCCGAAACCCGAAACCCCTAAACCCCTAAACCCCTAAACCCTAAACCCTAAACCCTAAACCCTAAACCTTAGGGTTATGGATCCAAGCTCCCCAGGCTCTTGGCCCTGTGCTTGATCAGGGTTTCCGGGTTTACACATGGTTCATCTGAGCACAGGCTAGAGAACAGCACCGCAGCAGTGTGTAGGGTCTAGGGTTTAAATTTAGGGTTTAGGGCTTAGGGTTTAGGGTTTAGCCTTTAGGGTTAGGGTGGGCTGGTTGTTCACAGCCCAAATGCAGGGCATACTCAGCTAAAGCCGCTCATCGTCTCGCCCTTACCCCCGCAAAGAAGCCTTCATAAAAGCAGTAGACTGTGTGTTAATATCAGGGGGAAGGGATGAATCCTGAACTAATAAGCTGAGCCCTAACTTTGCTGTGCCAAAGGCCATGGGTTAAGATACAGTAGGAACTAAGGCTTACGGCTTTGGGGGGTAGACCCTGTACAGCCGACATCTGAGAGGAACACCCTAAACCCTAAACCCTAATCCTAAACCCTAAACCCTAAACCCTAAACCCTAAACCCTAAACCCTAAACCCTAAACCAAGAAGCAACTAATATGGGCCCCACGACCGTCTACCTCCAAATCCCACGACCGTCGACCTCACCTCTCGTCAACACCAAGCCAGCTGAATCCCGAAGCTGTTGTTTGAGTCGTTTAGGGTTTAGGGTTTAGGGCTTAGGGTTTAGGGTTTAGGGTTTAGGGTTTAGCCCATAAACCCGAAAGCCCAAACCCCAAACGCTCAACTCTACACCTGCCTGGCACTCATGGTGTTCTTGCCCGGTGGAAAGTGACCGTGGCACAGCACCTGCTGCAGGAATCTAAAGCCAGTCTTTGGCCCTTGTAGGGCTTTAGAGGTTGGCATTTGAGGTTTAGGGTTTAGACTTTAGGGTTGAGAGTAGGGTTTACCGCTTGCCAGGTCAGGATTTCGGCTTGTAAGGTCTGTGGTGTTTAGAGGCCACAATTCATATTATTGTCCAACGTTGGCAAGGGGATGCGCAGGAAGTCACCCCGAACCCTTAGGGAAAGTCCCAAGGCGCCAGGTAATGCCGGCCGAGGTCGTAGGTGTCTTGCTGCCAGCGGAGTGTGAAGTAGCCGAGGAAGGTTTTTCCTCACACATGCCGATAAAAGAACCCTAAGCCCTAAATTAAACCGTCAAACACAGACAACAAAGAAGTTGTATGTGATATCTTTCGGTATTTACAAGTTTTAACCTAAACAAGCAGGCGCCGCAAGCCTTGTCCCAAACAAGAGCCCACAAAAACGTGTTGAGGCTAAATGTTCAATTTACTTGAACCTCTGTAGTTCCTCCCCGAAACAGGCTCCAAAAACATCCAAAAATCAGCTCGATAAATTTGATTCTAGACGTTTTGCAGGCCAAATGTTCAATATACTCATCTAGACCCGGGAGTAACCTAGGAATAACAAGGGTGCCCGTTTTGGGTTTAAGGGGTTTATAAGGCAACCCCAACCCTAAAAAACGGAGAAAAAAAAAGGCTAGTCATTAAACGTCTGCAGGAGACCCCTTACCAAAAAAAAACATTCCGATAGCCCGAACCACCTCAAGCCGTGCCACTAAACCCCCAAATCCTGAACCCTAGGCCCTGAACATGCCAAACCCAACAAACAATCCTAAACCCTAAGCCCTAACAACTTAAACCCTCAACCCTCAGCCCTAAAACTCCTCAACCCGAAAAGTCCTAAGCCCTAAGCCCTAAACCCCTAAAATCTTAAACCCTGTGTAAGGGCAAGAGGCCCACCAAGATGAGGCCACTGCTGGGCACGTCCAGCCGGTGAATGATGCCAAATTGATGAACCTTGCATCCCAAAACCTTATTCAGGGTTTAGGGTTTAGGGTTAAAGGTTTAAAGGTTTAGGGTTTTGGGTTTTTGAGGGTTTTGGGGGTTTTGGGGGTTTTGGAGGAGTTTTTTGGGGGGGGTTTTGGGGGGTTTGGGGGGGGTGTTGGGGGGATTTGGGGGGGGGGGAAAGTGGAATTGGTTTGGGGTTTAGAGGTTCAAAGGTGTTTTGTTGAAGTGCTAAAAGACTAAGTTCTGGCCCTTGAAGCTGGGGGAGTTGATCCTATGTCGTTGGTTTAGGGTTTAGAGTTTAAGGTTTAAGGGTTTGAGGGGTTTAGGGGTTTAAGGGTTTAGGGGTTTAGGGGTTTAAGGGTTTGAGGGTTTGAGGGTTTGAGGGTTTGAGGGTTTGAGGGTTTAAGGGTTGAAGGCTTGAAGGGTTTAAGCGTTTGAGGGATTGAGGGTTTAAGGGTCTAAGGGTTTAAGGGTTTAAGGGATTAAAGGTTTAAGGGTTCAAACGTCACCTGCACGTAGGTAATGAGGAACTCCCAAGCTCAAGCAGACTTTAGACCCTAAACCCTAAACCCTAAACCCTAAACCCTACACCCCAAACCCAGGTCGCGGGGCAGGGCTATGGGTGAGCGCTTCAACTTGCAGAGCTTGGGGTTCAGACGACCCCAAGCCAGTGCCCTGAACCCTGAACCCTGAGCCCTGAACCCTGAGCCCTGAACCCTGAGCCCTAAACCCTAAACCCTGAACCCGGCCTAAACCCTCAACCCTAAACCCTGAACCTTGAACCCTAAACCTTAAACCCTAAACCCTAAACCTTAAACCCTAAATCCTGAACCTTGAACCCTAAACCCTAAACCCTGAACCCTAAACCGGTGCCCTTGACGCTCTGCCCCAATCGCCCAGGGCGCCTCGCTGAAGAGGAGCGGATACTCATCCCAAGAGTAGATGCCTGCCCGGCGCCCTAAACCTAAACCCTAAACCCTAAACCCTAAACCCTAAACCCTAAACCCTAAACCCTAAACCCTAAACCCTAAACCCTAAACCCTAAACCCTAAACCCTAAACCCTAAACCCTAACCTAAACCCTAAACCCTAAACCCTAAACCCTAAACCCTAAACCCTAAACCCTAAACCCTAAACCCTAAACCCTAAACCCTAAACCCTAAACCCTAAACCCTAAACCCTAAACCCTAAACCCTAAACCCAAGCCCTAAACCCTAAACCCTAAACCCTAAACGCTAAACGCTAAACCCTAAACCCTAAACCCTAAGCCCTCAGCAGTAGCCCTAAACCCTAAACGCCAGATTTAGGTTCTAGGGGATGTTTGGTGCGGAACAACAAGGAGATCCTCGTTTTTTGGAACACACACACCCCGCCCCCCCCCGACCTTCCAACCCCAACGCCTGACACCCGCTGTCCAACATTGAATGCCCATGGCAATCACAGGGGTCTAGGTTTAGGGAAGGTGCATAGAGATGCCCGTCGACCTTTTCGGGGTGTAAGATCCCTCAGCCCTAGACCCTCTCGAAACCCTTGGTTTAGAAACCGGAATGCCATGGGCCACCCTCATGTCTACACCCTATACAACAACGCAGAGCTCGAAAGCGATGGCTTGGCTGGGCACCCTCACCCCGAAGACGCCCCCAAGCCCCCAAGCCGAAACCCTAAGCCCAAAACCCTAACCCCTAAACCCCACAAACCCGAAAAAATCACCCTAAACATTTGGAACCCTAAAACCCAACCCCTAAACCCTAAACCCCAAGCCCTTAACCCCAAAAATCTGGAACCCTAAAGCCCTTCTGCCTGGGATTTAGGGTTTAGGGTTTTAGGGTTTAGGGGGTTTCAAACTGCGAGCCTGCGACTCGAAACGCCGGGGGCTGAACAACAGGCCCCGTCCAGCAAAAAAACAGGCTTTAGGGTTTATAGGCTTTAGGGTTTAGGGCTTAAGGCTCAAAATTTATACGGCTTGGGGTTTATAGGTCTTTGGGTCTAGAGGGTTTAGGGTTTAGGGTTTAAGGTTTAGGCTTTAGGGTTTAGGGTACAACCTTAGGTGTCCAAAGCGGTTTATAGGTTTTTTGGTCTAGAGGGTTTAGGGTTTAGGGTTTAAGGTTTAGGGTTTAGGGTTTAGGGTTTAGGGTTTAGGGTAAACCCTAAACCCTAAACCCTAAACCCTAAACCCCGAACCACTTAAATCCTGGCCTTGGAGGAAGCGGGACAGGCGCCAGGCGCCTCGTGCTCGCACAGTTTGCAAGTTAGGACTTCAGGCTGCAAATTCGGGTTCAGGGTTTAGGGTTTAGGGTTTGGGGTTTAGGGTTTAGGGTTTAGGGTTTAGGAGGGTTGAGGGTTTAGGGTTCAGGGTTTGGGGTTTTCGAGTTTAGTGAGACAAAATCATCTGATGGAGGGTGCGTGCGGCTTCAGGGTGTTAGGGAGTGGGGCTCGCAATGCCCGGTGGCTGGAGGGGCAAGGGCCTGGCGGCAGGACTAAACCCTAGACCGCAATTGTGTGTGGCTGGGCCTCTGTGGATGCCAAGGAATTACAACCATGGTAGAAGGTTCTTTCTCCGGGGTTTCTGGGGCTTGGAGCTTGTTCACTCGAAAAACAAAGAGTCATGTGGGGGTTTCGGAAAATAGGGGAACCCTTTTTGGGGGTCCCTTTTGGAGTATAAACGGGGTACCACTTTTTTGGGCAGTACCCATTTGGGGCGTTTGCAGACTCGAAAGAAAGGCTCCGGAATGGGAGTGCGCCCACCCTGAACCCTAAGCCCTTTACAAACCCTACACCCTTTACACACGCTACGTAAACCCTATATGACCCTATATAAACCGTATATTAAGCCAATAAACCCTCAACCCTCAGCCGTAAACCCTAAACCCTATACAAATCCGAATCAAAAACCCAACCCCCACCCCCCCGCAAAAAAAAAAAAAAACCCACAACCCTCCCAACGCCCCCAAAACCCGCCCCCAAAACCCTAAACCCTAAATCCTAAACCCTAAACCCGAACCCTAGACCCTAGACCCTAGACCCTAGACCCTAAACCCTGAACTCTAACCCCTTACCCTAAACCCCAAACCCCAAACCCTAAACCCTAAATCCTAAACCCTAAACCCTAAACCCTAAACTCCAAAACCCGTCCAGGCCTGGCGCCACATCGGTGTGCAGCTCTTCCATGGGCCGCGCGTCGACTTCCCAGCGGGGCGGCTTCCTGAGCTGCCATTCACCATGCGGGCGGTTTAGGGTTTAGGGTTTAGGGTTTAGGGTTTAGGGGATAGGGGATTTAGGGTTTCGGGTTCAGGGTTCAGGGGTTCAAGGGTTCAGGGGTTTAGGGTTTAGGGAGTAGGGTTTAGGGGTGTAGGGGATCTAGGGATTTAGGGTTTGGGGGTTTTGGTTTCGGGTTTAGAGCTTAGGGTTTGGGATTTCTGGTTCTCCAGCTTGGGGTCCCGTTTGGGGTTCCGATTGCAATACGAAGCCTTTATGAACACTGTACACTTACAGAGGGACACCCTAAACCTAGACCCGAAGCCCTCAACCCTAAACCCTAAACCCTACACCCTAAACCCTAAACCCTCAACCCTAAACCCTACACCCTAAACCCTAAGCCCTCAACCCTAGATCCTGATCCTGACTCCGCTCAACCCCCAGCCTCCCCTGAAAGTTCGTGGAGAAAATTGAGTTGGCGTTGTGCCATGGTGCGGGGTTTTAGGGGCTGAGGGGCTTAGGGGTTTAGGGTTTGGGGTTTAGGGGTTTAGAGGTTTAGGGGTTAAGGGGTTCAAGGGGTCAAGGGGTTTAGGGGTTTAGGACCTTAGGACTCTTGCCATAGGTAGCGACCGATCTACGTCATTGGGCCAGTGTTGGTACCACAAAAATAGAACAGAAATGGGAAGTACAGTCAACCCAAACTTCAGATATGTCGATGGCGCACTCCTGCCGCTCAACTAGCCGCGTTTTGGGGTTTAAGGTTTAGGATTTAGGGTTTAAGGTTCATTGATGGTGAGTTAAAACGGTGCCAAGGCTCAAGACAACGGCGATGTCCGGAAGATCCAGAACAACCTCCCAGGATGGGCTATTAGGCCTTAGAACCCCCATAATGAACCCTATCAAGGGCCTTTTAAGGGATAACATGAACCCTATAAAGGGCCGTTTCAGGGATAAAATGAACCCTCATATAGGGCCTTTAGCGGAATATAGGGTATAATAGCCCATCCTTGTCAGCAGGTCTGGCGACAAGGAGAAGAGGATCAGGCGCCCACTTTTCTAACCAACCCTGCAACCTTCATCACTGCTGCGACTATGCGCCTGTGTAGGGTTTGCGGTTTAGGGTCTAGGGTTTAGGGCTTGGGGTTCAGGGGTTTGGGTTTGGGGTTTGGGGTTTAGGGTTTAGGGTTTCGGGTTTGGGGTTTGGTTGGCTCAGAAAGAGCCCGAAGCTGGCCCACAGCGATGCCGTGTAAGTAGGCCTCTCGTCTAACACAACCTTTAGCATGAGCAGGTAGCAATATTGAACACAATCAATCAACTTGCTGATAGTAAAAAGTAGGAATGACAGGAGCCACAAAAACAATAAGAAACACATTCACAACAGACATAGCAAAAATGAGCTAGTAACTGAAGCAAACAAGCAATTGCCGCTAGAAATCAAACTCGCAGTAGCCAAAACAGTCCAAGGAGCACCAGCTCGAAATGCTCAGCCCGCACCCTGAACACTCCAGTGCACCCTTGAACCAACTCTGGCCTCTTTGCAATATCCTCTAAGGGAATACAAGGGCCTATACTAAGATTATATGAAGGGAACCCCACAGCATGAAGGGAACCCCACAACATGTCACATGATGTATTCACGCAGCAGGAACTTGCGACAACGTGCAGGCAAAGTGACCAGTGGGCGTCTGCCAGCGCGCGACCATGATTCAAGCAGTGGTCCTTCACTCGGTTGACCAGGAGATGGCATGGAAGCGCCTTCTGACGAATCGCCAAGTAGAACGACGGGTGCGCACTGGTTGTAGCTGCCACCACACAGTGGCATGTGGATATGCCAATATTGTCCAGCACGGCCCGCCTGTGTAAGCCCCCGGAGTCCGCAAAGGCTTATAATTGGGTGTCGAAGTACTCATGCACTTCCTAAACCCTAAACCCTCAACCCTAAAACCTAAACCCTAAACCCCAAACCCCAAACCCCAAACCGTAAACCCTAATTAAACCCTAAACCCTAAACCCTAAACCCTAAACCCTAAACCCTAGGAGTCTTCCTCCCCCCCCCCCCCCCCCCCCCCCCCCCCCCCCCAAGCGGCCTGCGGGGCCTGGCTCCCCGCCGGCGTCGGGTCGGCGGGGGCTTCGGGTGCTTTCCTCCTCACAAGGTTTAGGGTTTAGGGTTTAGGGTTTAGGGTCTAGGGTCTAGGGTCTAGGGTCTAGGGTCTAGGGTTTAGGGTTTAGGGTTTAGGGTTTAGGGTTTGTGGCTTACAGTTGGGCGTTTTGGGGTTTAGGCCAATTCGGGTTTAGGGTTTGGGGGGTTTGGGCTAGTTGGGTATCAGGTTGTAAGATTTGGGGGTTTTGAGGCGCAGCCGATATCTGACTGCCCGAACACTACTCGGAGGTTCATGGGTACTTATATCCCCCTTATATACAAGCCCCCCTACGTCCCCTCACTGCCCCTCACTAGGCTATAGTAGACTTATAGTTGGGGTCATAAGTACCCATGAGCCTCTAGCACGCAACTCAAGCAGAGCCAAGTAAAGCGCAATACTTACGGAAGCCCTTTTCGCAACAGTGGCCCGAATACAAGGGGTTCATGCATCTATACAGCAAATGCTTGGGTCTTAAAGGGGCTCCTGCATGGTAGGATTTAGGTTTTAGGTTTGGGGTTTAGGGTTCGGGGTTTAGGGTTTGGGGTTTAGGGTTGGGGGTTTAGGGTTTCGGGTAGCTTAGGGCCCAAGTATATACCACGTAGATGCATGGACCTCCACAGAGAGCCCTTTCCATCGCCCGTGGCTCCTTGACCACCGAGCCAGACCACTCTCCTTAGCCCAGTCATGCGAGCATTTAGAGCTCAATCCCAAGCACCCTGAACCCTAAACCCTAAACCCTAAACCCTAAACCCCAAACCCTAAACCCTAAACCCTCTGATCCTTATAGGCCCTCATCCCTCAAACAAACTTTGGGGGGCGGGGGGCTTGCGGAATCTGGGCTTTGACGGCTCACAGGTTGAAGCGAGGGCACGTGGCATATCGCCAGCGCGAGCGCTCTCAACTGGGGTTTAGGATTTAGGGTTTAGGATTTAGGGTTTAGGGTTTAGGGTTTTAGGGTTTTAGGGTTTAGGGTTTGGGGGGGGGGGGGGGTTTAGGGTTGAGAGGACCCTAAACTGGTGGTTGTGGGGGAGTTCTTTGCTACGCATTCTCGAAGCTCCACGTAGCCCAGGTCGACTCGAACCTTCCACCTGCCTTCTGTGACACACCGCGCTTCTGCTTCTGAGCATTGCTCAACGAGACATGAGCCCAGGGCCTCCATGAGATGGACCAACGGCTTATTGGGAATGACCATGCACAACAAAATAGATGAGCAGAAAGGGGTTCTGCAGCCCCAAACCGTAAGTCCTAACCCGAAATGCTGAATCCGAAACCCTAAGCCCCCCCCCCCCATTTCGGATACTTAGCGCGCGCCCCCTCCCCTGACACACCCTAAACCCTAAACCCTGAACCCTAAACCCTAAACCCTAAACCCTAAACCCTAAACCCTAAACCGCAGGGGTTCAGGATGCCCAGCTTCGTCCAAAGCCGCCGCAACGCATCGCAGGGAGGAGGCCAGGAGGCCAGTGAGGCGAGGCTGCTGCTGGCCTGTGGGGTTTAGGGTTTAGGGTTTAGGGTTTGGGGTTTAGGGTTTAGGGTTTAGGGTTTAGGGTTTAGGGTTTAGGGTTTAGGGTTTAGGGAGGTTAAGGTGCAGGGAGTTTCGGGTTTAGGGAGCTTAGGGTTTAGGGTTTGGGGTTTGGGAAGGTTAAGGTGTAGGGAGTTTCGGGTTTAGGGTTCAGGGAGGTTAAGGTGCGGGAGTTTAGGGTTTCCGGAGGTTCAGGTGTAGGGAGCTTAGGGTTTAGGGAGTTTAGGGAGTTTAGGGTTTAGGGGTTAGGGAGCTTCGGGTTTAGGGAGGTTAAGGTCTGGGGTTAAGGGTTAGGAATCGTTTCGGGCTTAGGGAGTTCCGGGTTTAGGGAGTTTAGGGGTTTAGGGAGTTTAGGGAGTTTAAGGAGTTTAGGGGGTTTGGGGAGTCTAAAGATACGACGCTCATCTGCATCTGCAGCTGGCCACCCCTTTCCGCCCACTTCTTGTCATCATGTGCTATCAAGTCGTGCACACCTCAGAAATGGATGAACCTCTCCAAGCTCCAGGTTTAGGCTCTGCACCCCACAACAAAAAACATAATCCCATCTTTGCTTAACCAGGGACTCAGATCATCAACCTTGGCCTTCGAAACCTTGCGGGGCTTTGAGGTTCAGGGCTTAGGGTGTTGGGTTATAGGGCCCCCTAATCACTAGAAAACCCTGAAGCCTAAACCCTGCTGACACCCTTACACCCCTGTATCCTCCGCCATCCTAACCAACTCCAGGTCTTTTAGGGTTTAGGGTTTAGGGTTTAGGGTTTAGGGTTTAGGGTTTAGGGTTTAGGGTTTAGGGTCACCTCGAGCCTTTCAAGTCTACAGTCGGGTAGCAACAGAGTGCTCCGCATCCAAAACAGTTGGGGTTGATTAGGGTTCAGGTGCAGTGTCAAGGGGAATATAAGGAAACCCCACCCCCACAAAAAGGGAATAAGGGCCTACTCCGGGCCCTAGCCCTAACCCCTAAACCCTAAACCCTACACCCAAAATCCTAAACCAACTCCGGGTCTGTCACCTCGAACCTTTCAATGGTACAGTCGGGTAGCAACATGTCGAGTGCTCTGCATCCAAAAAGGGTTTAGGGTTTAGGATGTAGGGTTTAGGGTTTAGGGTTTAGCGTTGAGGGTTGAGGGTTCAGGGTCTAGATTCTGAACAATCAACCCTAACCCAGGCCTGAAGAGCCCCTCAACTTAACAACAACGCAAAACCTTAAAAAGCCTGAAGTGCCCGGCTCTGCCTGAAAATGCCAGGGTCCAGCTCAGCTCCAGCAGCGTGGTCCTTGGCTACTTTTTGGAGGCAAGGGATTTAGGGTTTGGGGATCTAGGGTTCGCGAACAGCTGGAGGACAACAGCTCATACTTGAGCATCATAAGATAGGAGAGGCGCATGATAGTGCCGCAACCCAAAGCGCTCGAGTAGATGCACCCATCGGACATGTACACTGCTAGCAGGGCTGCTTGGCGTGTGAAACAACTCGTGGGCGATGCGTTGGGCATCTGCTCCTATTCGGAAGCTTTTGCCCCGAGTGTCACTATTGGTGTCATGGTCATGTTCGTGCTGTCTCTGTTGCCCGAGGCTCTGGGGATTTCATCCGTACCTGTCCCAGCTGGCTCCCCATCTTCAGAATGCCCGAAGAGGGTGCGCGCTTCGAAAGTCTTGGTCACTTCGCTGCGAGGATATCTCCTAACCCATACCAGCGTGAACAGTACGCCTGACAAAGAAAGGTAGCCACCCAGGTTTCCGACCAAAGCGATCACCTGCGGAAGAACACCTTTCTTTGTAGTTGTCTCAACCAGGGGGTCTTCAATGCTGACGACAAATGCACTCTCACTCCCGGATGAAGGGCGAAATCGCTTCCAAAGCCCTTGGCAATACTCAGAATGATTGTGTGCTCCATTGAACCACTTACTCTGCAGCGCGGTCCGGAAGATGACCTGGTGCGAGGACGTGAACCCAGAATCCATTCCATGTTGCCTCTTGGAGAACTTCAGTATAAGGACCGAATGATGTGCCTGTGATTCTAATCTAAGCCATCGAACGCCATTCCAACCGAACAAGATGCCCCCTGGCTGGCTGTCATGACATATTGAAAAGCTCAGTGGAGGCTCAGGCAT